CTCTTCGTCCATTTTTTGCCGAAAAGCTAGAGAGAGTATCGACAAAACAAAAACTATAGTAATTCTTTCTGATACGGAAGATCGGACTTAGCCGCAACCACAGAGCATACTTAGAACGAAACTAGAGTGAAGTAATGGAGGGAGAAAGAAGTATAAAATGGTGGTGTGGTTTGGAATGAGAGGGGGGAGTGGTATTAATAGGGGGAAAGGGCCGCTGGAGATTTCAGGGCACCAATCACCGCGTTCCTTGAGAGCAGTGAACTCACCGCGTTAGAGGAAAGCGGTGATGGCTCGGATCGCTGACGTGGCGACCTGTGAGGCGTCGGATCGTGGAGAAAAACCACAATCCGCGCCTCATCGCATCGGACGGCAGCGGTGAAGGGCGCGGACGACAAGGATCGGTGACGTGGCGGGCAGGGCTATCACCGGTTTTCTCTTTGACTGTGAAGTGCCCGCGCGCGTCCACGTCAGCGATCCGCGTCCACTTCACCGTTTTTTACATCAACGGTCATTATCGCTTCACTGTTTCGCTTATAAACGGACACACTATCCCCGTCTTTTACTAACGCGGGGATTGCTTCAGCGTTTTTGTCCAAAATGGTGATTGTAATCACTGTCTTCCTCTTCGACAGTGATGTTGAAACTGCTGTACTTTGGGAAATAATTTTAAAAGTACTATATTTAGGGATTTTTTTTAATAATTAGAGTATTCTGTGATTTTTTTCAATTGATCCATGCACTCTCAACCGGAAATTGTCAGTCTCCCCTGAAGGTTGGGACAGAAAATCTGTCGTCCCTCTTATCTCCAACTGTCCAACGGATTCCGGTCTCCTTCGCCATCTTCGTGACAAATATCCAACTCACCATTGCTTATACTAGAGACTGCTTAATTACAAGAACATGGGAAGAAAAAATAGACAAGAAGAAAAGGAAAAGAAGCCATTTGTTTTTCTCATTTTCACCTCAGAGCCTGTGTACCATTGTTATTATCGTATTCGAGTAGATGGTTTTTGTACCCCCATTGGATGATGGTTGTTTAATGGGACGATCCTAGATTTGTCTGTTGCCCAAATCGCGGGAGAAGCCGGGAATTTGGCGTCGGAATGTCACGGGAGAAGCTAGGAAGCTGGCATTGAAAAGTCACGGGTGGAAGCCAGGGAAGCTGAGAATCCAGTCGTTAGCAAGGAGATGCCGGGAACAGGCACCACCGCTGCGTGGAGGGACTAACTGCCTGGGCAGACCCCAAAGGAGTCGAACGAATTCTGCTCGAATGCATGAATTAATTTAGTGGTTTCATTTTTTTTTAAATTAATTTATTTTAGATATAAAATAATTAAAATTAAAATTAGGAGTGTTTAGAGTAAATGAGGGGTAATTGGATAATTTTATAGCCCATTTAATGGCAACTTAACACATAATTGGATGAAAAGGTAAATCCGTTATATTTTAATATTAGAAGGATATGTTTGTGCTAAAATTCAGTGGAAGTGTACGTTTGTTAATTTACCATAGTAGAAAGGTACAAAATGCTATTAAACCTAATTTAAAGGGGCTGGTTTTCGTCGCCCTAAAATAGCTTATTCGTCGCCCTAAATCATATTGAATTTACACAAATGCCCTTATTTTTTATTGTTCGGGGGTATAGCACAGTTTCAACCCGTCCGGATATGCCTTCCCTACATTTTACAAAGCAAGGTAAATTTCATACCTTCTTCGAATGAAGGTATCTCAAATATGATGAATGCTGAAGTGAGTTGAATTTAAATCTAGGGAACAATTGATATTTTGTTGTTAATTATAAAATGGAACTCACTTGCTCTGGTTCTCTAGTTGCTAGGTGTTAGAGAGTGGTACAAGATCCATCATAACCTTCTTCCAATAACTCGAGTTATTGGGACCAACTGGTTTATGACATGGTATCAGAGCTGGTTTGGCCAAGTGGTCGTGTGTTCGAATCTCCACGACCCTCAATATTAACAGTTGATTAAAGCACAAGGTATGGTGGGTCTGTGCAAACTTTAAGCCCATGGGTTGACTTTCGTTTGAGGTGCGTGTTAGAGAGTGGTATAAGATCCATCATAACCTTCTTCCAATAACTCGAGTTAGTGGGACCAACTGGCTTATGACATGGTATCAGAGCTGGTTTGGCCAAGTGGTTGTGTGATCGAATCTCTATGACCCCCCCCCCCAATATTAACAGGTGATTAAATCATATGGTATGGTGGGCTTGTGAAAACTTCAAACCCATGAGTTAGCTTTCGTTTGAGGAGGCGTGTAAGAGTGTGGTATAAGATCCATAATAAACTTCTCTAAACAACTCGAGTTATTGGAACCAACTGGTTTATGACATAGTATCAGAGTAGTAATCAATCCAGACAAATCGATTATTATTTACGATGGTAGAGATGAAGGATTCTTCAAGCGCCACCAAGGGACCTCTCATTGGTGCCGACGGGGATTCATCAATCCCCCTCTCTTCTCCGCTTTTCCTTCATACATCGAAGAATCCATGTCAACCCTTCGGCAACAACCTTCTGACCGATCTGAATTATGGGGAGTGGGCTGCTGATATGATGGAAACCCTTATTGCCAAGAATAAGCGAGCCTTTATTGATGGCTCTTTGTCACGATCAGCCACTGGTATTAGCCCGATGTATTTGGATGTTTGGGACAGGTGTGATGCTACCGTGAAGGGGTGGCTCAAAAATACAATGAACAAGGAAGTGCACAAAAATGTTCATGGCGTGAAGACAACAAATGAGATTTGGTCCGGCCTCTAACAGCGGTTCGGCACAAGCTCGGATGGGCGTGCTTACGAGATTCATCGGTTGATTGGCTCGCTTCGCCAGGATAAGCAATTCGTCAGCACCTTCTTCACCAGTATGCACACCTTCTGGGATGAGCTACAAACCATTTCTATCAACCCGAAGTGCACTTGCAATGGCTATTCGTGCGACATAGCCAAGCAAACGCGGGAGAAGCAGGAGTCCGAGTGCCTATTTGATTTTTTGCTTGGACTCGATGACGCAATCTCGATCATTCGCACACAAATTATGAGTTTAAAATCGACTCCGTCGTTGGCCAAGGCATATCAAATGGTTTTCGCGGAGGAGCATCAAGGAAAACTCACCTCTACGTGGTGCCCTATTGTTGATTCGCTGGCTTTCCAAACCCGTGATGACAAGGACGGGGACGACAAGCCTCGTTGTGAGCACTACCGCAAGCGTGACCATACAAGGGAGATGTGTTTCAAGCTAATTGGTTATTCGTCTGAGCAAGGCAAGGGCCGGAAAGGGAAGCAGCAGAACGAACCCTCCCTTTGTTCCACTCCTGTCAATGCGTCTCAGGTCAGCAACGACGAGAGTCCAATCCCGGGGCTGACTGGAGCTCAATTCGCTTACTTGAAGCAGTTTTTGGGGTGCTTCGACTGCTACTTCTCCTCCCACGGACCCGACTATACATATGGTCGGTAATGTCACTAAACCTTGTGAATGGCTTACTGATTCAGGGTGTAACGAGAACATTGTTCGTGATGCTACTTGGTTAGATAGCATAGATTGTTCAGAAGTTTATTCACCAGTTCGTATACTGAATGGGAAAAGCATTATTGTGGAGGGTATTGATTGGCATAGTGGTCTTGAATTATCATACTACCTTGCTTCGAGTTCTTCCTGAATTCAAATGCAATCTTCTGTTAGTGATAGACTTACACAGGATCATATTGTGGCTTTGACTTTCCTCAGTGGTATGTGTGTGATCTAGGACTCACGTTCCAGGATGATTGGACTGGGGAGTCTTCGTGATGGCCTATATTACTTCGAGCGGATGAAACCGATTTTTCCAGTCCCGCGGTAGTTACCTGAGGTGTTTGCGGGGACGGGTATCGAGGCGCATGTAACACCCTAACCCGGTCGGGTACTACTTTTACTAAAATGACCTTGATAAATACAATACTCAAATCTTAAATTGCAGCAGGAAAAATTTTCATAAATAAAATACTGAAAACACACACTTGTAGTTCAAAGCAAAGCCCTAACACGTGGGCAAATTAAGCTCAAACTTTAAAATCTCAATCTGATCTCCAGTCTATACTCATAATCATAAAATGCAAATAACTAAGTAGTCTCTGTCGTTGCTGCTACTGAAAATCTTAACTAGGCACCCTCTGTGACGCTTACACTGCCCTTTCTCTAGCTGGCTGACCTCGAACTTGCTGCTCACTAACTGCTCCTCTAGCTGCAACTATCGATCTAGTTCTCGCTTATTCCTTTACTAAGTCCTGGTGAGTGAGATGGGGTCAGTCTACGCCCTTACGTTTTAATAATTCTAATACTTGAGTACTTTACTTAAACACTTAACTTTGACTAGTGGAAGTTGTTGGTACTTCCAATCTTAAAATCTTAACTCTTAAATTTTGAGGGAGTTGCAGTTACTCTCCTCTCTTAAAGCTCAAATCTTGACTTAAATACTTGACTGACACGGGGATCCCTCACTAGCTTTGCCCACTCATACGTATGAGAAGCCATCCAGACTTTCCTTAAACTTAAACTTAGTTAGGGGAGTCGTAACGATTCATCCCCCTAACATCTTAAACTTATCGTTGTGGCTCTTCACCATGATTCTCAAGAGCATAAATGCTGCTCATCTTAAAAGTCTCAAGAGCATAAATGCTGCTTTATCTGAAAATGTCTCAAAAGGCAACGGACTGGCGCTAGTGACTAAAAACACTTAAAACGACTTCACCTTCTTGAAGGTGAGTTACTTCTTAAAAAGAACTTGTTTCTTAAACTTTAACAATAACTCATAACATAACACTTTAAGGTAGATAGCACAAAATCACCTCAAATCATAGCTCAAGCAAAGCACAAATAATCAAACATAATCATGTAATATCAAACATGAATCAAATACGACACACACATCACGTAAATCAATACTTAAAAATACTCAAAGCAAATACTTGAAAAACCGTAAGGCGTAGAATTTACCCCCTTTACACTCACCTTACTTCCGTCGGAACTGGCTCTGATTTTGCTCCAAAGTTTCCATACTCTCTTCCAACCCTATTACACTCGTGCTTGCTTGAATAAAGTGGAGCAGCTTGCTTGGGAAAATTGAAATAAATGCACCAGCTTCATTATTTCTAGCCATGGCGGTAACAAAAAGACAAGCTTGCACTCTCGTAGTAGGAGGGAGCTTCAAATTATCCATCGAGGAGCTACCAATAACCGTGACGTCAGCAAGCTTCCAAAGCGGTAACCAAGAAAGCTTCAAAACGATAGCCATGACACGAGCATGCAGCTATTCGTAGTAGGCGGCGCATTCTCCTTGGTTGAAAGTGTTGGTATCAACTCCACTTCTGCCCATCCGGCCTCCTGCCTGCTTAACCAATCACGACTCGCAGTAAAGCCGCTACCTAGAACAATCACGAGGTCGTCGATGGTCGGCCGCGCGCCTACTTACATCTCCTCTGCATCTGCCTTCGACGAATCGGGAGCAGTCGCACATCTCCTCCGCATCCGCCACAATCACGCACTGCCATCGAAAACTGGTTCCCCCTCCTCATGTTCAGGGCTCGCCATAGAGGGCGATCCCCCCTTTCTCTGTCTCCTTTAACAAAGCAGCTCTCGGCGAGATCAAAGTCCGAGATGGAGATGGGACGGCCGCTGTTTTATTATTTCTGGCCGAGTGTGGGTGTGAGATTTAGTGTTAGCTTAGATTTTTAATTACCTCAAGGGGTATTTTGGGAATTTCACAAATTACGGGTGAGTTTAATCCGCAACTCAACTAAGGTCCGTAACTTATTCGATTTATATCGAAACTCGACACCGTTAGAACCGAGAGTTCGCATTTTTAGTCCTCATCGATATTACGATGGAATTTGACGAATTTCCCCCAAGGGTATAATAGTCATTTTGACTTTTGACAAGATCGGGGTGTAAAAGCGCATCAGCTTTGGAATCAAAGACTGGGGCATCCTTCTACGGAGAAGATTTATGCTTTACGAGATATCTTGGGTTCAAAGATTGCTAGTTCTTCACACACTCATTGTGATTCTTGTTGGCGAGCTAAACATACTCGTACAGTTTTTCCTTCTAGCTCTATTACGACTCAGGGATGCTTTGATTTGATTCATGTGGATATTTGGGGAGGTTATAAAAATCCATCACTCTATGGTTCTCGGTTTTTCTTGACAGTGGTTGACGACTATAGTAGGGCAACTTGGGTTATTTACTCAAGTATAAGTCCAACGTTGAATGGTATCTACTTATGTTCTGTCACATGGTCATCACTTAGTTGCAGCGGCAAGTTCGACGTTATCATATCGATAACAGGCTAGAGTTTCAGACTCATTCTCGTTGTCGTTACTATGCTGACCATGGATGGTTCTCCAAACTTCCTGAGTTAATACACCGCAGCATAACGGTGTAGTCTAGCGGAAGCATCGCCTTCTCCTTGATATAGCCCGAGCTCTCTGTTTTCATGTAGGCTTACCGGTACGTTTTTGGGGTGACTATGTCTTGACTGCCTCGTATTTAATTAACCGACTCCCTTCGTCGGTGCTCGGAAACAAACTTTCTTCGAGATACTTCTAGGCAAAGTACCCACCTACGATCATCTTCGTTCGTTTGGCTGCTTGGTATATGCCAACGATACTCACTCGTTGCTAGATAAATTCGCTGAGCGTGGCCGCCGAGGAGTTTTTGTGGGCAAAGCAGTCAAAATTGAGATTTTGATCGTAAAATTGTAGGATTTTTAGATTTTACTTGGCCATTCCGATCCTGATTTTACTATAACATCGGTGGACCTTAAAATCGTATAAAATCGGGATCAAAATCATTAAAATTGTTAGAATCGATATTTTAAATGGATTTTACCAATTTTGAGTTTCAGGTTAAATTACACGCCTGGGTCAATCAAATGGGTCAGGTCGATTGTTGTTCTTTCCCCAAATTGGACAAATTTCAATTTATATATAGCTATTCTTGGTCCTGGATCTCTGTTTTACTCTCGTTGTGTTTCGTTGAGATGGATTTACAAATTTACGGAACCGTCATCATCAATTGCAGCACCTCCCTGTTATTTCACTATGTATCAAGTTCCAATCCCTTAGTAGATTAGATTAAGAGAACGCGCAGTAAGAAGGAAAATCAATTCCAATTGAAACACTAGAGAAATAGAGAGACCTAATACAGATTCAATTGAAGAGACACAACACAGAATTGAGACACAACAATTCTGTAACGAAGATCCAAGATAACAAGGCGAGAATGAAAGCTATGCCCGGATAAGCTTGAGTCCCTGGCACACGGCCCCAACTCAAGCTTTCCAGACACTTACACAGACCCAGACCTAGACTGCCAAAGAGAACCACACTCTTACTGAGAAAAGGAAAACTGTGACCTTCTTTGTTCTGAGCTATTCTTGATATAGACCTCGGAGGAGCTAGTCTTCTGTCTCTCATCATCAATGCAGGTTTCCGTTGGGAGGAATTGATGGTAGCAGAGATTGATGATGGAATCTTTCGTTCGAAGCCTTTGTTGAAGCTGATGACAGAGATAGTGACGATGAAGCGCCACTGGGCTCTCGTCGTAGTATGAGGATAAGCGACCGGGCTTATTTAGAGACTGGGCCTTTCAATTGTATGTAGAAGACGAGGCCAGGCCCAACAATCTCCCCCTGCGCTCGAGTCAACCATCCTGTAATCGGCCAAGGTGCTGCAGAGACTAAGAGTTCTGCAGTAATACAAGCATATTTTTAAAATCAAGCTTGATCTTTAAGAAACTTCACAACACACATCACCACACAGAATTTGAGTAATTTATTTAGATCATCATTAAAGACTTGATTCAAGACATGATTTAGAAACCAAACTTAGACCATTATGGTCTTGACACGAAAAGGACAGACTACTACTGTAAACAATCATGATTTAGAAGCCACACTTAGACCATTATGGTCTTTGACACGAAAATGGCAGACTACTACTGAACACGATTTATTCTCTAAGACCATCTTTCTTAGAGGAAGATTTCAGAACAAGGAAGTTTTTCTAACTCCCCCTGAGAGTCAGATTTCTAAGATTCTTCATTTTCAGGAAGAGTGTGAGTCTCCCCCTGAGTTCCAGCTTCCTTCATCTCGTCTTCAATTTGAGTGCCAGCATCCCCTTCCATCAGTTCTTTCTCAAGGTCTTCAGCAAATAGTTTGATTTCCTTTTCGGATATGGATTCAGGCTCTAGTTCAGCTTCTCCTTCTTCAAAAGAAATCATGAGATTTTTGCATACTGATGAGGTTTTACCAAGAATCATTGATTTGGAGATTGTTTTGGACAGAGGTTTGGATTTCTTTAAAGCTGGTCCTGAAGTGTCTCCCCCTTTCGAAGGCTGAGGATCAACATGAATAAGCTGTAGAACATGGAGGGCTGGAACAGAGATAGATTTTTCAATGGTGGAGTAGCCATCAAGCGAGATTCCTAAATTGGAAAGGAGGAGGGTAATGAACCCACCATAGGGGAGGCATCCTCCAAGATGAGCATCAGCACTTCGAACTATTGAACCAAACAGCAGCTGAGAGTAGTCAATCTTCCTGCCTGTGAGGGCATTTGAGAGAATCCAGAGATCTATCTTGGTGACTATATTGTGACCATGATTCCTAGGCAGAAACAGGTGGGTGATGAGGTAGTGTAAAGTGCGAAGGGATGAGTTTAGTTCAGCTGAGGTAATGACCTCTTGTGCCCCTACAGTGCGTTGAGTGATTCTTGAGTACTCAATCACATGGTCAAAGTCATAAAAGAGAAATCATCTTCATGGGCCAAGGGAAGAGGTCCTCCTGTTGGGAGATTCAGGAGAAGGCCAAGAGCTTCTTATGTGAGAGAAATGAAGTAACCATTAACAAGTGTTGTGAGCTTGCGAGTGGTGATTCCTTGACAGTCAAGATTGGCATAGAAAGTGCGGACAGGCTGAGGGCAGGCAGCAAGAGGGGGATAGTAGAGAAGAAACTCCCACCCCAGATTGCGAATTAATGGAGTGATGTCCACACCAAGAGATTTGAATTCAAACATGTCGAGAGTGATGGGGTCAGAAAGAGGTCTAGAGGCAAAGAACTCTTTGAAACGGTGGAGATTGAAGTCAATGGGCTCGTTGAAAGTCCTCCCAACATAGGTGACAATAGCACCAGGAATGTTGGATGAGGTGAAAAGATCAGTCATGACTAAATTACTGATGGGATAGACTGAGGTGGACTGATGTTCGGCAAGAAGCAGGAAATATATAAAGCCAGGACAGAAGGGGAAGAGGTATAGAACTAAATATCAGTGATGAAAATCACACAGTATGGAATAACGAGGCATCAAGTACATGCACACAAACTGAAAACAACAAGAGAACACAGCTAATGTAATTAATAAGTAAGACCCGTAGTAAAGGAAGGGCAGAACCTGTTTTAGTGACTGTCTCGAATGGAGTGAAGTGATTGCATCCCCAGTTCCCCACAAAGTCGAATAAACCATTCAGAAGATAACGGTTTTGTAAATATATCAGCTATTTGGAATTCAGTGGATATGAAACTTAGTTCTATGTGTCCAGCTTGTATGACTTCTCTAATAAAATGATGTTTAATCTCGATATGTTTAGTTCTACTGTGATGGACAGGGTTTTTTGACATGCAGATTGCACTTGTGTTATCACAGAGTATGGGGATATGTTCAAATTTCAGACCATAGTCTAGGAGTTGGGATTTCAGCCATAAAATTTGGGTGCAACAGCTACCAGCAGCAACATATTCTGCTTCTGCTGTAGACAGTGCAACTGATCCTTGTTTTTTACTGGACCAGGACACAAATGATTGTCCAAAGAATTGACAAGTACCACTGGTACTTTTTCTGTCAGTGATGCTTCCAGCAAAATCAGAATCTGAGTATCCTACTAGAGAGGGAGACTCAGATCTGAGGTACCACAAACCAAGGTCATAAGTGCCTTTTAAGTATCTAAAAATTCGTTTTACAGCAGTTAAATGACTTTCTTTGGGTTGATGTTGGAACCTGGCACATAGACATACACTGAACTGAATGTCAGGCCTACTAGCTGTCAAATAAAGCAGGGATCCATTCATAGCTCTATACTTCTTTTCACACACAGGGATCCCCACTAGGTCATAATCTAGGTGAGCATTAGAAGCTAGGGGAGTCTTGGAGGGGTTGACTTTGGTCAATTCAAATTTAGACAGCATGGACTGTAGATATTTAGATTGATGAATAAAGATTCCTAGGTCAGTTTGGTGTATTTAGAGTCCTAGAAAGTGATTCAACTCACCTACAAGACTCATCTCAAACATGTTTTTCATAATGTTATAGAACTCATCACACAAAGTAGGATCAGTGCTACCAAACACAATATCATCCACATAAACTTGGACTATCAGAGAATGACAGTTTTTGTGTTTTATAAACAAGGTTTTATCCACTCCACCTTGACAGAATCCTTGGGATATAAAAAATGACGTTAATTTATCATACCAGGCCCTAGGAGCCTGTTTAAGACCATATAATGCTTTGGATAATTTGTATACATGATCAGGGAATTCACTGTCAATGAAACCAGGAGGCTGTTCAACATAGACATCCTCCTTGATTTCACCATTAAGAAAAGCACTCTTTATGTCCATTTGAAATAATTTGATATTCATGTGGCTGGCATAAGCACAGAGAAGCCTAATTGATTCAAGCCTGGCTATAGGTGCAAAGGTTTCATCATAATCTATCCCCTCTTCTTGGTTGTAACCTTGAGCAACTAACCTAGCTTTATTTTTAATTATGTATCCTAGGTCATCTGACTTGTTTCTGAAAATCCACTTTGTGCCTATAATGGTGATGTTAAGAGGTCTAGGAACAAGTTCCCAAACTTTCAGTCTAATGAAGTGAGAAAGCTCTTCTTGCATAGCAAGCAGCCATTCTTCATCCAAGATGGCTTCCTTAAAATTTC